ACCCTGAGGCAGCCCACAAGTGACAGCCCAGGGGTCTGAACACTCATCCCCCACCACCACTTTCTGGACACGGCCCAGGAGGAAGGAGCGGAACCACTGTATAACAGTGCCCCCAGCTCCCAAACCCTCTAGACGGTCCAGAAGGATGTTATGGTCGATGGTGTCAAAGGCCGCTGAGAGATCCAGCAGAACTAGGAAACAGCTCTCACCTTTATCCCTAGCCCACCGGAGATCATCAACCAGCACAACCAAGGCAGTTTCAGTCCCATGATGAGGCCTGAATCCCGATTGGAAGGGATCCAAATGGTTCACTTCTTCCAGGCGTGCCTGGAGTTGTTCAGCAACCACTCACTCAATCACCTTGCCCAAGAATGGTAGATTTGAGACTGGGCGATAGTTGGCCAAATTGGCCGGGTCTAAAGATGTTTTTTTAAGAAGCGGTTTAATGACCGCCTCTTTCAGCGGGTCTGGGAAGCCTCCCTCACAGAGAGAAGCATTCACCACCCCGCAGAGCCCATCGCCCAGCCCTTCCCGGCTCGCTTTTGTCAGCCAGGATGGGCAAGGATCAAGGAGACAGGTGGTCGGTTTCACTCGTCCAAGCAGCCTGTCCACATCCTCGGAGGTAACAGATTGGAATTGATCCCATGTAACAGGACCAGACAGAACTCTAGCACTCTCCCGCCCTGGCCCTGCTCCCACAGTGGAGTCTACCTCCTTCTGAATCTGAGTGACTTTATCTGCAAAAGACTTTGCAAAAGCATTCCAGGAGATCTTGGGGTCCCTACCAGGCCCCGGTGGTACAGGTGGTTCTGATAGATTGCGAACCACCTGAGAAAGTCTCCTGCTGCTGTTTTATGCAGATGCTATGGACGTGGCGAAGAAGGCCCTCTTCGCCGTCACCATTGCTACTTGGTAGGCTCGACGTTGAGCTCTAGCCCGTCTTGAAGCTCTTGCCTTCTCCCTCTTTCTCCTCACACCTCTGTGCTGGTGATCTTCATTAAACACCGAGACGCCAATGGTCAAAGCCAACAACGGAGACCTCGCCTACCTCATCTCCCTTCTGCTCTGCTTCCTCTGCTCCTTCCTCTTCATCGGTCAGCCCAGAAAGCTCACCTGTTGCCTCTGACAAACTGCTTTTGGAACCATCTTCTCCCTTGCCGTTTCTTCTGTGTTGGCCAGAACTGTCCTGGTGGCTCTTGCCTTCATGGCCACCAAGCCAGGAAACATGGCCAGAAGATTGTTGAAGGGACAAACAGCAACTTTGAGTGTCCTGGCCTGTCAAGGCTGTTCTCTGTGCTGCCTGGCTGGTGACTTCTCCCCCGTTCCCAAACTGGGACCTTCCTTCTCTACCCAGCGAGATTGTAGTGGAATGCAGTGAAGGCTCCCTCGCCATGTTTTACTCTGTCTTGGGTTACATGGGTTTCCTGGCCCTCACCAGCTTCACAGTGGCCTTCCTAGCTAGGAAGTTGCCTGATAGTTTTAATGAAGCCACATTTATCACCTTCAGCATGCTGGTCTTTTGCAGCGTTTGGGTCTCCTTCGTCCCAACCTACTTGAGCACCAAAGGGAAGATCATGGTGGCTATGGAGATCTTCTCCATCTTGGCCTCTGGTGCTGGTCTCCTGGCTTGCGTCTTTCTCCCCAAATGCTACATTATTCTTCTGAGACCTGATCTCAACAGCAGAGATAATCTCATGAGGAAGAAGAATCAAGGAATCTAACAATTCAATCAGTCAGTCAATCAATCGACCAAACTTTCCTTTAAAATTGATTTATATATAATATTGTCAATTATATATAACCCTAACCCTAACCCTAACCCTAATAATAGTAATAATAATAATTTATATCCCAGCCGAAGCCGGGCTCAGAGTGGCTAACAATAGTAAAATAATACAACATTCTAAAATCATTACATTATAAAATCAGTTCAAATCAGATTCATGACAACCATTGGGCTAGAGTTCTGTGAGGATTACCGAAGGAGGGGGTCAGACTGTGCCTTGGCCAAAGGCCTGGTGGAACAGCTCTGTCTTGCAGGCCCTGCGGAAAGATGTCAAGTCCCGCAGGGCCCTAGTCTCTTGTGACAGAGCGTTCCACCAGATCGGGGCCACAGCCGAAAAAGCCCTGGCTCTGGTTGAGGCCAGCCTAACCTCCCTGTGGCCCAGGACCTCCAAGATGTTTTTGTTTGAAGACTGTAAGGTCCTCCGTGGGACATACCAGGAGAGGTGGTCCCGTAGGTACGAGGGTCCTAGACCGTATAGGGCTTTAAAGGTTAAAACCAGCACCTTAAACCTGATCCTGTACTCCACCGGGAGCCAGTGCAGCTGGTATAGCACCGGGTGAATGTGATCCCACGGCGAGGTCCCCATAAGGAATCTCGCCGCGGCATTCTGCACCCACTGGAGTTTCTGGGTCAGTCTCAAGGGCAGCCCCACGTAGAGCGAGTTACAATAATCCAGTCTGGAGGTGACCGTCGCGTGGATCACAGTGGCTAGGTCAGGGCGAGAGAGGTAAGGAGCCAACTGCTTAGCTTTGCGGAGATGAAAAAATGTCGCCTTTGTTATAGCTGCAATTTGCGCCTCCATAGAAAAGGAGGTGTCGAAGATTACACCCAAACTCTTAACGGACGGTCTTCCCCATCTTGGCCTCTGGCGCTGGTCTCCTGGCTTGCATCTTTCTCCCCAAATGCTACATTATTCTTCTGAAGCCCAACCTCAACAGCAGAGAGCATATAAGGAGGAAAAAATAATTAGGAAATTGAACACCTTGACGCTATCCAATAAACAAACCACAAGGAAGGTAGCCATATCATCCTGTTGTTAATGTTCACTCTCCTTGGGAGAAAAGTAGGAAGGACCTTCATCAGGGTGGGAGGCTGGGAGAAGAGGGGGGCGCCCAGGTGAGAGCTGGGGGAGTCTGCTTTTCTATGGGCAGATAAATGATAATATATGCACTATATAAATATAAAGGGTCTTTTTAGTTACCCTTATTCTAATCTTTCCCCCCTTTTTCTTTTCTATACAATTGTGTTTTGCATTTTCTTATAAATGAGCTTGAATTTTATTGTTTAATGTGTAAAAAAACACATTTCAATAAAATTGTTATAGCAAACATGGGCAATGCCCTTCCATATTTTCAGACAGGAACTCCTCCTGGAAGGTGAACCTGAGACCTTCTGCATGCAAAGTGGGCACTCAGATATTGAACTATGGACCTTTCTATTAAAAAGCAAAGTTATGATTCTAGTCCCTTTGATTTGAATGAATAGTTTCAATAGGCTTGCCAGGAGAGTGGTCCATGCAGGCTGGTATGGCCTACAGCGAAATTTCCATGATTCCAGAAAACATGTTTGTCGTTTTCTCCTAAGATGGTGCAAAAAGAACTTACAGTATGAATTCTCTTCTCTTCCCTGAAATTATCACAATAACAGTCATTCCCGTTGAACCTCTGGAGGTTTACACCCATCGAGTCAACAATAAAGCAAAATACAGGACAAAACAGTCTTGTGATAAGAAAAATGATCATGTTGAGCTACTCCATTTTATGCCTGAGTATTGATCTCTCTGACTGAAATTGGTAGTTTTCAAATCAGGTTCTGCAAAGGTGCAATTGTTGTTTCAAGGGGAATATAATATCTCTCTGAGCTGTGGATGATTCGGTTGCTGCTCTTGGCCTGGCTCCTGCCTCAAGTCAGCTGCTTGAGGAAGAGGACACAGACACGATCCATGAAGCCCTTTCGACTCCACGAAAACTTCCATAGGGAGGGAGATCTCATTGTGGGTGGGAATTTACCCCTGTTCAGGGCCGTGGTCAAAGACCCATCCTTTAAAGAGTATTCCAGAGAACAGGACCATCCTGAGTTAAAGTAAGTATTCAGACAGGTAGGGCTCTGAGTTGGAAACTGGGTTGCTTTCCCTGCCCCCGCCCCCCCCAACTGAAATGCTGTTCCTCTTTCTTGTGCAATCTGGGGACCTCCTATGGCAGGGCAGGAGTGGGGGATCTGCTGTGGAGGTTGAAAGGAGTAAAATATCTCTACAGCAATTGGCTGTATATTCTCTTTCCCAATTTCACCATTCCATTTAGTAAGAAAGCACTGCTTTGCATCCAGTTGCTTCCTTATTGTTCAACATCACTGTTAATTTTGTGAGATTTAAATGTTTCTCTCTCTTCCCAGTTAAACCCATTTCCATGATTTTCTGGGGTTCTTCCAATTTATTATTATTATTATTATTATTATTATTATTATTATTATTATTGTACCCCAGCCACTCTGGGCGGCTTCCAACATACAGTGGTTCCTCTGGATGCAAACAGGATCTGTTCTGGAGCCCCATTTGCATCCAGAAGCGAACACAACCCGCGTCTGCGCGTGCCGCGATTCGCCACTTCTGTGCATGCACGTGATGTCATTTTGACCATCTGCACATGCGCGAGTGGCAAAACCTGGAAGTAACGCGCTCTGTCACTTCCATGTCGCCACAGCGCGCAACCCGCAAATACTTATCCCGAAGCTACTTCAACTCGAAGTATGACTGTATATCAAAACATAATATGACATCAAACATTGAAAACTTCCTGATACAGGGCTCAACTTTTCTATCGTTCCACCCATAACCATTTTACTCGCATCGCAGGCTTGTCCCCAAAAACTACCAGTACATCCTGGCCTTGCAGTTTGCTATCAAAGAGATCAACGAGGACCGGACTCTCCTCCCCAATGTCACTCTGGGTTCCCGTATCTACACAGAATGCAATTTTGCAAGCAAGACCACGGAGGCCACGCTGTCTCTGCTCTCCACGCGGAGACAAATGGTGCCAAACTACAAGTGCGACAGTCGGGACCAGCTGCTGTCCGTCATTGGGAGCCTAGACGCCACGACTTCAAGACAGATGGCATCCATCCTGGGCTCCTTCAAGATCCCGCAGGTGAGGAGAGCCACTTGCAGACACTATAAAGATACAAAAACCCATTCTCTGTAAATTGCTTCTGTTATAATGCCTGGATAGCTCAGTTGGATAGAGTGTGGTGCTGGGAACGCCAAGGTTGCAGGTTTGATGCCTGCATGGGGCAGCTGCCTATTCCTGCATTGCAGGGGGTGGACTGGATGATCCTCAGGGGTCCCTTCCAACTCCACCATTCTATGACTGTGATGGTTAGTGATCAGTTTGGTCTTCTGCCTTCAAGTGCCTCATTAAGCTGTTGACAATGAATCATGATCAGATATGGTACGATTGATCCTAATGCCCACTTACCCATTCCCTCTTATCTCATTTTTAATCGATTTTTATCCCTTAGTTTCTTTCTCCAGCCCAATGAATGAATGTCCTGATTATGCTCCCATTGCATATTACTGGTGGTATTATTCCACCTCTGTGAGAGAAGAGTTCTTTTAGTGAAGAACTCCTGCCCCCAAATTTACTCCCCCCCCCTTCAATTTATTGTGCAGAGCCAAAGGCCTTTACAATGTACAGCAGAGGGCAAGGCAAGGCTTTCCTCTGAAATCACACAACATACCCTATAAAACTTTACAGCATAGAAAGTTTGCAGCATAAAATTTTAACATTAGAGAGCATTAACATATCTTGAACAGAGCTTTTAGCTGCCAGAGCAAATTTGGCTACAGTTGACAAAGTTTACTCACCTGTTGCAGTTTCCTAAACTAGTCATACCTCAGGTTGAATGTGCTTCAGGTTGAGCGCTTTTGGGTTGCGCTCCACAGCAACCCGGAAGTAACAGAGCACATTACTTCCAGGTTTCGCCGCTTGCGCATGCACATATGCTCAAAATGACGGCACGCGCATGCACGGAAGCGGCAAAACACGACCCGCGCACGCGCAGATGCGCCGTCGCATCTTATGTTCCATTCAAGATGCGAACAGGGCTCTGGAACAGATCCCGTTCACATCCTGAGGTACCACTGTACCATGTTGACCCAGATAATAGTTTCATTCAAACTTTAGACACATGGAGGAAGGGGAAATGACAGGGTGAAAAATATGGAAGCATTATGTTCAATAAAAATTATATCCGGGGGGGGAGGATATTATTGCATTATGCAAAGTCCAGAGAATCCAGAGTCCTGCATTCTCAAAAGGACAACTTCAGTCGGTGCTGAAAGTGAATTTTGGGAGACATGCTGTGTTTAAGGTTGGCATTTTGCTTAGGCTTTATTGGAAACTGCAAGTAACTCCTTGAAAGCCCTGTTTTTATGATGAACTTTTTATAGATGGAGGCCTTTTGTGGATGACTTAAAAAATATTACAGCCAAATGAAATTGTGGGGAGCATTTGAGATAAAAGCAGCAGAAATGACAAAATAATTGCAATAGGGATGCTTTGTAATGTTTAATGTTTTTATATATGTTGGAAGCTGCCCGGGGAAGAGGAAGAAGAGGAAGATACTTTTTGTAATAAAGATTGAATGCAGTAGAAAAGGTTTGCGTAAAGACACTGTGGAGGTGCTGCTTCTGGTGAAAATGCTCAAAAAATGTAATAAAAACTTGTGTGTGTATAGTTTTGATGGAGGACGGGGTGGCAGGAACTGAGGGGCCCAGAAGGCACCACGGAACGTTCACATTATGTCTCAGAGGTCACTTTCAAAGCACAGTCCTTGCTCTTTTCAGCTGGGTTATGGCTCCTTTAACTCTGACAAGGAAGATGAAACGGTACCATCGTCTTTTTGCCGCATTGACCCCAACCAAGTCCTCCAGTACAGGGGTTTAGTCCAGTTACTCCTGTATTTCCACTGGAATTGGATTGGACTCCTTGCTCCGGAGGAGAGCAGTGGCGAAAACTTCATCCAGACTCTGACACCCCTCCTCACCCAGAACAATATCTGTGTGGCGTTTGCCAGAAGGGTCATTCCAGAAACGGTGGCTTTTCTGCAGCATGGAAAAATATGGATGAAACACATTTCGGATCTTTTCAAGAGCGACGTCCAGGTGGTGATTGTCTTTTTGGACTCCAACACCTTGCGGAACCTATTGGGTCCCATGTACGTCATGAAAAAGCTCAACAAGATCTCAGCTAGGAAAGTTTGGGTCCTGACAGCCCAGTGGGATTTTGTCACTGAGGGGTCCCAGAAGCAATGGAAGGGGCTGAAATCTTTCCATGGGGCCCTTTCCTTCCAAATCCACTCAAAGGAAGTGCCAGGATTTGCCCAGTTTCTCTCAGAGTTAGGTCCACACCAGCCACAGGCAGATGCCTTCCTCTGTCGCTGGTGGAGAGTTGTGTTTGACTGTGAGTTTCTGGGGTCAGGCCTCATACCTTCACGGAGCAAGAGAAAATGCACAGGAGAGGAAAAACTAGAGGACCTGCCGGCCTTTGTGTTCTCAGTGACCATGACTGGCCACAGTTACAGCATCTACAACGCCGTTCATTCCGTGGCCCACGCATTGCATGACACCATGCGCTCACCGGGAACCAACCGTGCAGTGATGGGAGGTGTCAACCGTCTTCCAAAACTCCAGCCATGGCAGGTAATGTCCTCGCGCTGCCTAGTTTGGTGACTTGATTGGAGCAGCAAGAATGTTGCAGAAGCTGCAACAGAGATGGGGAACCTCAGGTCTAGGGCTGCATGTGACCCATCTGGGTTCTCTTTCTGGTCCTCAGAACTCCTCAGTAGGGCTGGACGAGATTTAGTTTTCAACTCTGGGATATATATATCACAATGTCTGAAATAAGGGTGGAGCTGCTTTTAAACTTTGTGATATATCACCAGCTAAGCTTTGCGAGATATTGATATAGACTGTCCTCCTTAATAGTCACCCAGCTTTAAGGTGACGGGGAGAGAGTTGCAGGGAAGGACCAGATTGGGACGTGTGCCCTGTCCTGTGTTTCTTGCTTTCCTTCCCCACAAGGACAAAATATGGCTGCTTCTGATCTTCATCTGGTTTTGCCCTCTCCTCGTCCCCCACCCACCCATGCGCACCCTAATTTTGGGTAAGGCAGGCTGGGGCTGCCATGCGGGGCCTGCAGAGCAGCGGAGCTGCTTGGGTTCCCATCAATGCATGGTGCCGGAATGGGGAAATCCCAACTTACTGTAACAGAACCTCTATGCAAGGGAGTTCTACCAGGGAACTGCAGAAATAATGTGGCTGGTTGAGGGAGCACTGGACTCCAAAAGGTCAGAAACCAGTGGATCCAAGGGAGCCAGACCAACAACCCCCCCTCCCCGTTTTCTGAGTGTCTCTTCCATTTCAGATTCTTGCCGCTTTGAGGAAGACTCGGTTTAACAACAGCGCTGGGGACGAAGTCTCCTTTTCTGAACATGGCAGGAGACCAGCTGGCTTTGATATCCTGAACTGGGCCTTCTTCCCCAATGACTCTTGTGCTGTTGTGGAAGTTGGAGGTCTGGATCCTCAGGCTCCGCCAGGCGAGGACTTCAGCATCAACCCAGACACCATTGTGTGGGATTCCCAGGTGGGGCAAAATGAGGGCATAAGGCCAAGGCCAGCACAAGAGTTGGCTCCCATCTCTCCGCAGCCATCACTACCTGCCCTTTCTTTCATGGTGGGATCAGTGGGCCCCACATATGCACACTGCATTGTGGGGGGTGCTGTTCCCCAGACCAGATCAAACCACAGTCTCATTTAGTCTTGAAATGTGGACTACATTTGACGAAACTTGATCTGAGTCTTCATTTTTGCAATATTTAAAGAAACTGCAAAGTTCGGAAATGGATCTGGCACTCCCAAGCTGGTTGTCTCTCTCCATCAATAGGGAATCTCCCGTCACCTCTTCCAAGTCCTGTTTAGTTTTTGGGGTTTCTTAAAATCTATTTAATCAAAGCAAAGTGGTCTTGGTACACAATGTCCCCCTAAATGATTCATTTATTCTGTGAGCCTCAGTTTTTGTGGTTCCCTATGACCTGCAGAGGTATGGAAGAGATTTGGACCACTCAAGTAGATAAATCCCTCCAAGTCCTTTTTCACTGCAAGACAAGCATTGACCTTGTGCAGCAAAACTCAGCAATTTCGCTCTTCCCTTTCAGAAGATCCCCTTTGCCAGGTGTGTGAAGAGATGTCCTCCGGGGCAGAGCAGAAGAGTCCCAGAGGAGAAGCCGGTTTGCTGCTATGAATGCATTTCTTGCCCAGAAGGGACCTTTTCTAACCAGACAGGTATGTCAAATCTAGAAACCCCTATTGAGGTGCAGAAGTTGTTAGGAGAAGCGTGGCTTGTGGAGAGAGAGAGAAATCCTGGATGAGGAGAAGTGGAAAAATCCCCTGCAACTTGGATTTGGGTTTATGATTTTACCTGTTCACAAAGATGTCGTGAATTTTGGGCAAAAGATTCCTACATTGCAGAGGTTCGACTAGATGGCTCTTGGGGTCCCTTCCAACTCTAAAGTATGACTCTAGGATTCATCAGAATAGTTATCAATAGTTTAATAAGTTCTAAACCATTGATAATTATGAAAAACTGTTCCATATTTTCATAGCCTCTGTTTTAATAAACATATACATTTTAAAAGCGTGTTAAAATGGGGTGGGTGGGTATTGGGTTGTTCTTGTTTTTATTTTGATTATGTATTTTGTGTTTTTATATTGTGGTTTTATCCTGTGAACCGCCCTAGGACCTGCGGGTATAGGGTGGTTGTCAGGGCTGCCTCAGGTCCCAGCTCACAAAGGACCAACGCCAGTTCCTCTTTATATACAGAAGTCTTTATTGAAGTTCATTATTGGTTTGACAGCCGTGGCGCGCAGCCCTACGTCTGAAACCCTAGACCGCCGAAGCTCCGTCTGAGTCTCCTCCCCCCAGACACCAGTTTAAGACCCTAGCCTTGCTCCACCTCTTCCTCTGCTCCCTCTTCCTCTGGGTCCGCTTGTCCGCCGAAGTCTTGCCCTTCCTAGACTCTTCTGAGGCTGACTCCCCTGAGTCTTCCCCCTCCCTCCGGCGAGCTTTAGGACCTGGTTCCCAATCCGTGCTTTCTGCTGTCCCACGCGCCTGTACATTTGAACTTGGCGCGCGCGCCCAGCCTGCCACCTTCCTCCTGACCGTTATACTGCTCCTGTTGCTGCTTCCCTCTTCGGGGATGCCAGCTGGGCTTGACTCCGCCTCCCTGCTTGCCGGAGGAGACGCTGACTCTGACCTATGGGGCTCTGCCCCCCCACTACGCTCCGGTGGGGAAGCTGGCCCTGATTTCCAGCTACTGCTTTGGGAGTCTCCGCTGGCCCCCTGCTTCTGGTGTGTCCCCCCTGGGACCCCCCTTGCCCTGGCCATCGGCGCCCCCTTCTGGGAATCTTCTGATTCACTGGAGAGGCTTATGGAATCTCTCGGGTCACTGTCATTCTGCCCTCCGCTGCCCTCAGATTCTTCCCCTTCGCTCTCCATTTCCTCTCTCCCCTGCGCCTCTGCTCCTGAGCCCCTGACAGTGGTATACAAATTATTATTATTATTATTATTAGTAGTAGTAGTAGTAGTAGTAAAGGTGATGATGAGCCCAGATTAAGCACTTCACATCAAGACATGTTTCCGTAGCTGTGGTTAAAGACTCAGCTAATTGGGGTTTTAATCTGACCCTGTGATCCAAAACAGAATTGTCTAACCCCCCCCCCAAGTGTGTCAAGGATCGTGCTGAGGAGGGCTGCACTAAGGAGAAATGGTGGGAGCCTCCCTCCTCAGCTCCTGATCAGGATCCTGAATCTTCCCAGGAGCAGGGAAGTAGTATAGATTTGGAACAGCGGTTTGCAGAGGGACATAGTTCAGAAGGCAGAAGCTGGGAAATACTGAATGGGGAACAGCTACTAGAAGAAGAACTGGGAGAGAGAGAGTTAACAGATTCGCTGTCTCTGGAAAGCATCCATCCGCGCAGCCCAAGGTCAAGAAGAGCTGAAAAGGAGGCAGCACAGAAAGCACAGTGGTTACGAGATCAGGTTACAAGACGCGGGAGTGACAGGGGTGACTAGGGAGGAAGTGGGTGGGATTCTTAACTGGGAGCACCTCCATCCCTAGGAAATGGATTCTTAGTTCTCTCACTGTGATCATTAAAGTTTCTAACTGGTAAGAAGACTCCTTTTCCTTTGTTCTGCTTATCTACTGCCAAAGAGGGAAGGAAGCCAATTCCCTGACGCCTGACAGAGCGGCAACCACAGTCGAAAACACAAATGGCACATGTGATATATTTCAACAGTGTTTCCTTATGCCAGATGCCACTCAGTGTACCAGCTGCCCTGAAGACCAATGCCCAAACAAGGACGGTGACCAGTGCCTCCTGAAGACGATCAACTTCCTTCCATACCAAGAGACTGGGGGTCTTCTTTTAGCTTCCCTTGCCCTCTTCCTCTCTCTGATCACACTTCTCATGCTGGCGACCTTCATCAAACAACGGGACACACCAATCATCAAAGCCAACAACCGCAGCCTCACCTACGTCCTCCTCGTCTCCCTCCTGCTCTGCTTCCTCTGCTCCTTCCTCTTCATCGGTCGACCCAGGAGGGTCACTTGTCTTCTCCGACAAACTACTTTTGGCATCGTCTTCTCTGTTGCCATTTCTTCCATCCTGGCAAAGACCATCACAGTGGTCCTGGCTTTCATGGCCGCCAAGCCGGGAAACATGGCAAGAAAACTGTTGGTGAGACAACCAGCAAATTCTATTGTTCTGATCTGCCCCCTCATCCAAACTGCTATTTGTGTTGTTTGGCTGGCAACCTCTCCCCCATTTCCAAACCTGGACTTCCATTCCATAGCTGGAGAGATTGTAGTGGAATGTAATGAAGGTTCAACCACCATGTTTTATAATGTCCTGAGTTTCCTGGGTTTCCTGGCCCTCGCCAGCTTCACAGTGGCCTTCCTAGCTAGGAAGCTCCCTGATAGTTTTAATGAAGCCAAGTTTATCACCTTCAGCATGCTGGTCTTTTGCAGCGTTTGGGTCTCCTTCGTCCCAACCTACTTGAGCACCAAAGGGAAGATCATGGTGGCTGTGGAGGTCTTCTCCATCTTGGCCTCTGGTGCTGGTCTCCTGGCTTGCATCTTTCTCCCCAAATGCTACATTATTCTTCTGAAGCCCAACCTCAACAGCAGAGAACATCTAATGAGGAAAATGGGAATCTAACCCACTTCAATCTTCCCTGCCAGTTAAATTTTCACAAAATTGTAGGATTTAAAACTTATAGCAGTCAAGTACAACATTCATACAGTGGACATGTTAGGGGATGTTTTGTCCCACTCAGGAGAAGAGTTCCTGTTTCCTGCTGAGCTGGGACAGACTTGAAGAGGGTGCGGTCTGTTGTACTAGCATAGAGGAGCCCACAGCCTCCATGTTCTGATCCGTGTGTCTTCTCCATTGTGTATGTTGCTGTGTGTTTGGAGAAGTGACTCCTTAGTCACAGACACTTGGGACTAACTTTATGGAATAGTTCTAGTTGTTATGTAATCTAGGCCTGCCTTCAGGGATATGTCTGTGAACCTGAATGAATCTGTGAATAAACTACTTTTATATTAAGTTTAATCAGATTCTCATGTCTATTCTTTTTAAGAGGGAAAGGCAAGGGATTTACCAGGAATCTTAAGTAGTGAAGCTCCGACAAGCCAGCAACAAGCTATCCGCTGTGTAATTTAAAAGGGGGGATGTCTGGAGCTCTGCTAGAATATGGAACTTGCTAGCACAAGTTAGGAAGGATATGATTAAATAATATATCCTCTCCTGCCTCCCTAATCATCCCCACAAAAATGAATCAGTTTCCTAGTTATCAATACAAACTCTCCCGTCAAATTCTGCAGTTGGCAATGACAGCAGGTTTGGTTACTTTCCAAAAAGTCTAAGCAATTCTCTGTATTTCCCCCGAATATCCTTTTTCTCTCAATCAATAAAAACTGTGAAAAACCAGAGAGAATTGTGCCATTCTATTCAAGTGTTGAAGTTGCTGTGTCTTCTCCCTTCCTTGGAGGTGGGCCATCTGGCATGGACGCTTTGGGGGTTGGGCTGAATGACTCTAGAGGGGCCTTCCAACCCTACAATTCTATGGTTGGCTCTCTCCCCACCATCGCTTCTTCCCCTGGGCAGTGGGGGATGCCCGTCTCTGAAAACCTAGCTGTGTCCCCTTCTCCAAAGGAATAATATATTCTGCTCCAGTGCTAGATCCCACAGAGAAAAGCTGGAGGTTGCCAGACCACAGAGAGTTCCCAGTGAGACAGTTGCTGCAAGCGAGGTTGGGAGCCAGCAGAGGCCTTTTATCCCTCTGGGTCCAGACTAAGTCCTCCAGGCTCTACCCCTGTGGGAAGGGACTTCAGAGTCTTACAAGGGTCGACCCTGTGACCTGAAGATGCTCCTCCATCCCAGAGCCTCCCTTCTGGGGCAATTCCAGGCTGGTGATGGGTAGTGGGAGGCACCTGGTTCTTCAAACTCAAGAGAAGGTGCCTGTGAAGGTCCAGGCCTTGGCCATATAGGCCCTGCGGGGGGGGGGGGCTGGGAAGTTCTTCCGTTTCTGAAAGGTGGCTTGAGTTGCCTCTAGAGCGGCCCTTTTAAGGACAGCTTGCAGGAGCAGTAAGTTAAAAAGTTCAGGGGAGCACATTTCTACCTGATGGAATGCTGGGTACCAAAAATGATTATAACTGTGCAGTGTATTATTTGCATGTGTGTGTTGGGTCAACTTAGCCCTATCGATTCGGATGCTGTCAGTGGCTTCTTGTTATTATCTTGTTCGGCTGTGTGTGTATGAAAGAGGAGCCACCCCAGGGTGAAGGCGTCCTGTTATTTGTCCCCGTGTCAGTTTCAGTCTGTTGGTTAGTTTTTGTAAAGTAAAGGTAAAGGTACCCCTGCCCGTACGGGCCAGTCTTGACAGACTCTGGGGTTGTGCACCCATCTCACTCAAGAGACCGGGGGCCAGCGCTGTCCGGAGACACTTCCGGGTCACGTGGCCAGCGTGACAAAGCTGCATCTGGCTAGCCAGCGCAGCACATGGAACGCCGTTTACCTTCCCGCTGGTAAGCGGTCCCTATTTATCTACTTGCACCCGGGGGTGCTTTCGAACTGCTAGGTTGGCAGGCGCTGGGACCGAGCAACGGGAGCGCACCCCGCCGCGGGGATTCGAACCGCCGACCTTTCGATCGGCAAGCCCTAGGCGCTGAGGTTTTACCCACAGCGCCACCCGCGTCCCTTTAGTTTTTGTAGTACAGCTGTTATCCATACAGTTTGGTACCAGTGGTCCATGTTCATTCCAGACAGATCCCTCTAGTTTCCAGTAGGATTATAACTTTTTTTACAACCTGCTGTTCCTGAAGCTTAGTTAGATAAACTTTTGCCTAAAAACAAAGGAATGAACTGTCATTTCCAAATCTTTTGAAAAAAAGTCACCCCAAAATCCACAAATCATTTTTCGTATATGTAACTGTATAATGTACTTTTTGTATAATACAGGGGAAAATTGAGATTGCAAATTTTCTAATACTTGCACAAAGTGTTATACATTGTACATCCCCTCTTATTGCTTAGAATAAATCAAGCCTTGGTTTCTGCTTCAAGCACCATAAATTTCCCACATCAGTTTGGTTGCGTGTTCTGCGCACAGATGGGATCTGGATGGCTCCCACTTCCAGGGCTTCTACAAGACAGTTTTAGGTAGTTTCAGACAGCTGTAAAAGTTCCAAACAATTCCTTGAAGTTTTTTAAAGTGTTCATACTTATGAGTAGTAAGGTTATATGTACAGTGATTCCAATTTTTCATTTTGGGGTGACCATTTTTCACAACTGAGAAGAATTAGTCCATTTTTCAGTGTTTCTAAGCAAAAGTTCATCCCTTTATGATACAGGAAATCATTTTTGTTTTTGAAGAAAAAAAGAAAGTCAAAAAGTTATCACTCTAGTGTCCTGCTATGATGCTCCTGGCTGCTGAGAGTAGAGGGCTTGTAAAAACCTTGCAGATCTGCAGGCTTCGTGATTTGAAAACAGAGACGATAGATGTACTTTTGCAACCCCAGAAAATCTTTAATAAAAACAATTTTTTAAAAATCTGTGCAGCGTTTTTTTGTTCTTATGCATCTGGCTTTGTAATACCTTCGGCTACACAAATAAATGAGCAATGGCAATTAAGCTAAGCTGGTCCTGTAGCCACCCTGCTCAGCTTTGCACAACGTCCTCATTTGGGCCACAGGGATATGTATCCGTTCCCTTCTGAATCTGTCATTCCAAACACAGAATCAGCATTGGCTTTTGTACAACATTCTCTTTATTTCCTGCTGAGCGTTTCCCCTCAAATGGTACAACACCAGAGTCCTTTGATCATTGGAAGCCAGAGCAGACTGAATGCATATCTTTATATGCATAGATAGGAACATACACCTTCTGGCGAAGCCCAACCATTCAACCCAGGCCCTGTAGCCCCTGTGCAGCTTGAAATCTCCATCCTGGTGCATCTTATTTACATGGCAAATATCAGGCGGGGGGGGGGTGGAGAAGAGGACAGAAGGAGATGCCAATACTCCTGTCTACACACTTCCGATAGGACGGCCAACATGGGACGGAATATGGGGGAGAGGGCACAGCAGGGACCCAGCTGGACTCTATTCCCATCCTCCAGCCTCTGAGCATGCACAGAGTGGCTTTTCCATGACAGGTGGAGGCAAGCAGGAGGAGGATCAAGGTCCAAAAGGAAACGATGCAGGGGGCCCTGAGAAGTGGCAAGGATGGTGGGGGCAGGTGAGCTGGAAATATTTCACACCAGGCAACCAGGGCACCCCTTTAGTTTCTGATAGTACGTGGGTAGATGAGTCTAAAAAGCCCAGGACACAAATTTCCACAGCCTTCTAGCAGCTATGGTGGTTCCTTAACTAGAAGAGATGTATTTAGTGTTAACTCTGGAAGTGCTGACTCGATTCTGAACAAATGAAGCCTCCGAGAGCAAAATATACATCAGCCGCCCAGAGTGGCTGGGGCAACCCAGTCAGATGGGTGGGGTAAAATAGTAGAATATTATTATTATTATTATTATTATTATTATTATTCCAGTTTGCAACATCTGCTTTTTCTCATCTTTGCCAATCTCAAACTCCTCCATTTCCAGGTGAAAATGGAGAATAGGTATCAGGCTAGATGAGGAGGAGGAGTGGAGACGGCCACCCTAAGAGGCGCCCAGGGAGGGGGCAGAAGAAGATAGTGTGGACCCAGGTCCTTGGTGGTGGGAAACAGGAGGAGGAGAAGGAGAAGGAGAACTGGGAAATATTGGAGGGCAAGGAACAGGGGTGAGCTAGCAGATGCACCAGCCCCGAACAGAGACAGGAGCCAGATGTGATAGGGAGAGTACCAGAGCCAGTTGATACGATGTCCCTTGAGAGCCTGATAGATCCCCCTCCTTCCCCTAAAACCAGGTGTTTCCACCATGTCAGAGAGCAGAAAACTAGGCATCGACAGCAGGGTTCCTTGGCAGCCACCGTAGACAGCAGTTTGGGTCTGATACGCAGAAAGCGAGCTTCTGGGGAGAGGAGCAGGCCCCCTGGGCAGCAGCTCAAGCCTTGATGGATCTCCTGTGCTTCTGTTTGATACTAATAAATGAACTGATGAAGAAGCTCCCTCGTGACAGGACCCAGTTAGGGAGGCATGTCCTCTAAAAGGACAAACAGAAGCCTCCAAGGGTCCACGTCGCCCCGTGCTGTTGGCCAGATTTTGATAACAGGCCAGGAATGCCCTGCCCAAATTTCTCCAGAGGTTGCAGCTTGGCCTGGTCAGAGATCTACAAATATCTCTTTGTGGAATGAGGTCCATCCCTCCCCAAATGGGGTCCTTTCCCAAGTAAAGCTGGTCCAGGAGGCTTCTGGCCTCCAGCTGCCCAACCCTTTACACGTTGGTCTCTCTGAGCAGGTGGAAATAGCTGCTCTCAAAAGCGTTGCAGACGCAGAGGTTCTCCTCAGATGGCTCTGATGATGCCTTCTCCTCCTTGGCCATCAGGGTCTTCTCCTCGGCCGGGAAGCTGGGCACCAGAGACGTTGAGCCAAAGGCTTTCTTCTGCAGATTGGGAGAGTTCCCTGCATCCTGTGCGGACGGTTGAGAAATGGAAGGAAGCCATTGAGAAAGGATGGATCCAGATTTACACCCAAGCAAGATGAAAAGAAAGAAATGATAAAGAAACCACAAATAATGATTTAAAGTGGAAAGGCAAGAGGCAGAGTAACCTTGTTTGTTTTGTTTCTGTTTTTAAGGGCATATGAGCAGGAATTGATCAATAGACATCCCTAGCTAGCAGGGCCAGTGGGAAGGGTTGGAGGGAACTGTAGTCCAAAAACAGCTGAAGACCCAAATTCAGGTAATGCTGCTCTAGTGGCAGAGAGCTCCACAGGACTGGAATGATGACACTAAAGGCTGCTGTCAAATGAGCCTCTCCAAACCGGGGAACGGCCAGCGATGCTCCTGCAGCTGCAGGTGATCACGATGATCAAGCTGGAATATGAGGGTTCAGGTGGTCCCTGTTCTCTACCCTGAATGATGGCAGCTCTAACGCACTGCCCACCATTATCAGAGTGCCCAGTTTCCCCACTGTCCTACCTTGGTGAACGGTTTCTTCAGCCCCTCTGGGGAGACCATGGCGGTCTGCTTCATGACGTCCCACCAGAGCACGCCTGGCTTCTTTGAGCTCCTTTTCGCAGGCCCTGCAGCAAAACCCAGAACCACGAGGGAGAGAGAATTTGCACACTTTAAGGCAATGAAACATGAAGTATTGAAATCAACTTCTAAAATGGTATTCTTTTGTAGAATATTGGGGGGGGGGCATCATGGTTATGTCAAAATGTACGCAGATGAGAATTTGTCATTTAAAAATTTGGAATTGATGTACAGAATGGATAAAATATCAGTAATATAGAAGCTTTATAAGGAATAAAAGAACACCATGGAATGTGTCAACAGATATGAGAGATTTGTGCTGGTTGCATTTTAAAAGGATTGGTTAAAATTGGAAATTTAATTTTAAAAATATTATTTAAAAAAACAAATGAAGCAAATTAATAGCTAGCTAATGGCTCCACCCCACCAATTTACCAGTTAGGCAGCTGGCTAGAACCCCAACTACAACCGTGGTGAGCGTTCCCAAGGCACCGTAGTAGAGGTAGGAAATGGCGTAGAAGTCATCCACAATGGCCGACCTGCAAAGGAAGTGAGATGGTGAGATCCGCAGGAAGAGGAATAATTGAGTTCTGGCTCCTAGAAGGTGTTGGCAATCTGGGAGGAGTACAGAGGAGGGAGACCAGGATGACCCAGGGTCTGGAAACCAAGCCTGATGAGGAACGGTTGAAGGAGCTGGGGATGTTTAACCTGGAAAAGAGGAGACTGAGAGCAGACAGGAGAGCCATCTTAAGGGCTGTCACAGGGAAGATGGAGCAAGCTTGCTTTTTCCTGCTCTGGAGGGTAGGACTCGAACCCATGGCTTCAAGTTAGAAGAAAGGAGATTCTGACTAAACATCAGGGGAAACTTTCTGACAGTGAGAGCTGTTCGATGGGGAAGGGACTCCTGGGGGGCGGGGCGGGGGACAGACCTCCTTGGAGGTTTTTAAGCAGAGGCTGGGGGGCCATGTCTCATGGATGCTTTTACTAAGATTTCTGCATTGCAGGGGGTTGGAACAGAGGACCCTCAAGGTCCCTTCCAACTCTAAGTTTCCACCCAGATCCCTAGATCCTTTTCACGTGTCCTGCAAGTGAGCCAAGTGTGCATCTGGCTCTTCCTGCCCAAGTGCAGAACCTGACATTGTCCCTGCATGTCCCTTTAGGGTCATCTGGTTGGCCCCTGTGAGAAGAGGATGCTGGGGTCAGTGGCCCCCCTTTGGCCTGTCCAGCAGGCAGATTCCTCTCATGTTCTCATGGAACCTCCAGCTCTGCAGGCAGACAGTTCTTAGCATATTGGGGGGGGGCACTGTGAGGACCAAATTGGCTCCCTTTGGCCTGATCCAGCAAGATCTTCTTATGCTTGTTATGAACCTTCAGCAATACCTTGTCCCAGGGCTTGTAAGCACATTGAACAGCACCAAAGCGCATTGAGGCGCACTGTAGAATGTCCTTAGTTCTTACAGGCCATAAATGGTGTTGCCCCATTACTGAATTCTACTGAATCTTCCTGAATTCTACTCTGGGCAAAGAAATGTTGTTTTGCTGTGTTTTCCTTTTGTGTTATATTAATCTTATTACTTATACCCCGCTCATCTGGCTGGGCTGCCCCAGCCACTTATTTGAATTTGCACCAGAGATCAACAGCCATCTCACCTGTCTGCAACTTCCGTGATGTTCCGGGGTGGCAGTGGGCCGAGCACGATGGTGGCGTTGGCTCCCTCGGAGGCGTTGTAGAGCGGGCACAAGTCTCCGTAGGATGGGAGCACCCCCATGGTGGTGGCGCTGGGCGGGTAGAGGGTGCCCCCCACAGCCACCCAGAAAGAGAGGGCGAATCCCACAAGAAGCCCAGTCAACACCCCCTGGGAAGGAATGAGAGGTCGGTTTTTATGCTGCTGCTGAGCTTAAAGTCCCACCCCCACCCAGGAATTTTTGCATGGGAAGGGAGATTCCCCACAGGCATCCAGTTGGCCACTGTGAGAAGAGGATGCTGGGATACATGGGCACCCTTTCATGTCCTTATGGAACCTCCAAGTCCAGGGGCAGTCTATCTCGATTCCTGCATTGTTAGGGGTATTTTTGTGTTCTTTCGTTCCAATCCTACTGCTTTGTTGCAAGGCCCCTCCATAGCACAGCACCTTTCTTCCAACACCCTTTTATGAAGGGTGAAGGCACCCAAAAGCATCGTCTCGGGTCCTCTTTGGGACTTACCACGGTGTTGCAAGCTGGGATAAACATCCCCAGGATGAAGGCTCCCAGAAGGGGCCCACTGATGACGCCCATGACGGTGAACGAACCCTGTGCAGAAACACAAAGCGGGGCAGAGAAGGCAAGGGTAAGTATGTTGTTGTTATGAGGTTGTCAAGCTGGAAGGTGTGCAGCAGAGGAGAGCGACCAAGATGGTGAAGGGTCTGGAAGACAAGCCTTATGAGGAACGGTTGAAGGAGCTGGGGATGTTCCGCCTGGAAAAGAGGAGACTGACAGGAGAGAGGAGAACCATCTTCCCATATTTCAATGACATGGAAGAGGGAGCAAGCTTGTTTTCTCCTGCTCTGGAGGGTAGGACTCGAACCCATGGCTTCAAGTCACAAGGATGTCCTGGATGCTTTAGCTGGGATTCCTGAATTGCAGAGGGTTGGGCTGGATGACCCTTGGGGTCCCTTCCAACTCTACCATTCTATGATTCTGTTAGAGGCCTCACACCTCCTTCCCAAAGCTGGGCAACTGCTTACCAGGCGCCCAGCGCAGGGCAAGCTGCCACACTGCCCTAAAACCGCCTCTGGTCAAATCTGCCTTTTAAAGTTGGTGGCCTGTGGGGGGGAGTTCTGCAGATTAACTCTGTGAAGAATGACTTTCTCTTATCCGTCTTAAATCCTCTGCTGGCTGTCCAAGAGTCTCATGTCACGAGAGAAGGAGGAACACTTTTCTCTGTCCACTGTCTCCCCGCCACGCACAATTGTGCAAACCTCTATCGCGTCACCTCTAAGACACGAGTAGCAGCTGCAATCTGAAAGTGCCAATCGGCTCCCAGATATGCAGCTATGCAGCTCGAGTTGTTAACATGTGAGATACAATGCAGAAACCGATAAGCCGTGTGTGCGCACATCTGTGAATGCAAACTTTTCCTGGTTGCTACAAAGGCGGGTGGAGTGGCCTCCTTGTTGAAACAAGATGAGACAATACTGGGCTGAGCGTGAGAATCAACTCCCTACGTCATAAAACCAGCCACCGACACACATGACTGGAAGGCAGAGGCCTGGCTGCCAGCTTCCGTGCTTCAGCGGCTTCCAGGCTGGACTACTGCAATGCACCACATATGGGGCTGCCCCTTGGAGACTGTTGGCAAGAACGCATATCAGCCTGCGTTGGTCCTCAGTACATTCCCAGGGCCTGATGCAAAGGGCTGGATTTGTCCTTTTAAAAGCCTCACAGCCCACCCTCTCAAGCTTGTTGAAGAACAAGGAGGAGGCTATCAGTGGAGGCTATCAGTGGTTACTAGACTCTACAGCTGCAGATAAAAAGAAGGGTTAGGGGAACTCCCTGCAAGAGGAATCCTAAAAGGACCTCCTTCTGGGTTTCCTTTGGGGGCACATGTGAGAACAGGTGCAGGGTGAGATGGGCCTGATCCAGCAGCCAAGCTCTTCTTAAGGAGGACTCCTGTGACAGCAGAACCTCCATGCCCAGGAGCAGTCTACCTCTGAATACGAGATGCTGTGCTCAGGTCCTGCTGGTGGGTGTCCCTTGCAGGCGGCCCCTGTGGGAACAGGAGGCTTTGGCCTCATCCAGTCAGCCAAACTCTTATGATCTTCTTATGGAACCTCCTGGTCCAGAGGCAGTCTATCTCAATTCCCAGGTTCCTAAGGACATTTGGCCGCTGTGAGTGCAGGATGCTGAACTGGGGGGGGGGGGCTTTGGCCTGATCCAGTTAGCCTCTTCTTGGGTTCTTAAGTAGTTTGGCTCCCTGAAGAAGCGTGGCCTGCAAAATACCCTGTTGCTATCTCGAATGCAGATTGTGCTTTCAGGAAAAAACACATGAGCCAAATCCTTGTGGAAGAAAGAGAAGAAATTGAGGGAGGGGTCATAAGCGGAGACAGTTACCCAGCCAGATGGGCAGTGCATAAATAGTAAAAATAATAAAATAGTAATAAAAAAATTATTATTACCTGCAACACCCCGCCTCCCAGTAACGAAGACAGCGCTGCAACGGTGATGCACGATGTCCCATAAATCAGTGCTGGAAATGTTAAGAATAAAAGCTCAATTTCCATTATTATTATTATTATTATTATTATTATTATTATTATTACTGCTATTATTATTATTATTATTATTATTATTATTATTATTACTGCTATTATTATTATTATTATTATTACTGCTATTATTATTATTATTATTATTATTAATTACTGCTAATTTTTCTCATTGGCCATTTTAGTGTTTTGGCCTTGCTGGAGACTGCTTGTTTGTTTGTTTACAATCAAGCAGTGTATAAATTTTATGAAATGAACAAATCCTCAGGAGCAGATCTGTTGAAAACAACTGGCTTAGGATGGTAGAATCATCGAGCTGGAAGGGACCCGATGGCCATCTAGTCCAACCCCCTGCAATGCAGGAATCTTTTTACCCAACGTGGGGCTCAAACCCACAACCCCAAAATTAAGAATCTCCTGACGGAACTAGGCTTGTTCCCAAGGGGTCTCCTGGGATGCCCAGCTCAGCCTCCCCACGCTTTGGAGGATGCCCCGGCCACCTTCACTCACAGAGCCCTTTGGAGATGAGGGTCAGCTTCCGTGGAGAGAGACTGGGCAAGTTCGGCTTGATCAGGTCCTCCACAGTGACGGCAGCCATGGCGTTGATGCTGGTGGAAGCCGTGCTGCAGAGGGAGGGAGGACGGGGCAGATGCTACAATGACGTGTCACGGAGGACAAAGCCACCAACAGCCTGAATTAGCTAGGAAGGAGCCTCCAGCTTCAAGAGCAGTCTATCATCAAATGCACCGGGGAAGCAATCCCAAGAGACGGCCATTCAGCTCACGCCATGCTTTTCTGGCAGTGCTTTTTTTCCAGCCAGAGAATGCCAGAGTGCAGTTCCAGCACCTCTCAGGTGGGTGCCATCGACTTGTGGAACCTCCAGGTCTAGAGGCAGTTTATCTAGATCCCTAGGTCCTTTGGGGTAATTTGGCCCCTCCAGGAACAAAATGCAGACCTAGATGATCCTTTGGCCTGATCCTGAAGGCTATCTGAAGGACTATATCTTCCCATACAGCGGGAGAGGAGCTTTTTGGTGGTGGCTCCTCCCAGACAACTATGGAACTCCCTGCCTAGAGAAGCTAAGCTGGCTCCCTCCTTGCTGACCTTCTGCTGGCAAGTGAATCCTGTTCTATTTCAATGGGTCTTTTTTTGCAAAAGGAAACGGTTTTTAAGAGTGCTGTGTTGTTTTTATTATGTGTCTTTTAATAGATGTTCATATTAGAATCATATTAGAATCTATTCATATTAAAATAATCTTTTTCATATTAGAATCTGTAGTGTTGGAAGGGACCCCAGTGATCATCTAGTCCAACCCCCTGCAATGTAGAAATATTGTTTTAATTCTATTAAATTCATGATTATTTTTATATGTTCCTCGCTTTTTGCATCTCACCTGCAGCGTTTTAATCTGCGTAAACAAACACCCGTCCCGTTCTAGAAAAAAGTGAGGCGTGTATTTCTGGTGTTCCTAACTCACGGGGCCTCCCCTATTGAGGCCCCTAGAGATCCTCAGGCTGAGCCCAGGACATTTTGCCACTGCCATTCGTGTACAAAACCTATGGTAACTAGGATGGCTGTTGAATTTCAGGTCAGCATCCTGCGCTGAACCAGAGTGCTGGAAATACTCAGAATATCTGAAACGGAAACGCTCACTGAGAAACCACAATCTCCCTCCAGGTGGAGCTGGGGACTTTGGGGGCACCATGCTCCACCCCAGAAGCAGATGCAATAAAAGAAGTTAGAGCTTCTAATATTGGATAGCTTTAGCTATACGCAGGAATCAAAGTTTTGTGTCTCCTTTGCAGGAAATGTGTTTTGGGGGGGTTCATTCTGTGTGGGGCAAAGAGGGGGTCTCCCACACTCACCTCAGAGTCCCGCTGTATGCACAAGCCAGGAAAAGTCCAGGCACCCCGGGGTATTTCTCAAAGATATCCAAGACCAAATAAGGCATGTACTGAGAGAAAAGGAGAGAAAGTGTCAGTTCTGTTTCAGGGGCAGCAGGAGGGCAGGGAGATGGCCATGATTTGAAGCTGGCCACAAGATGCACATAGAATGGTTGAGTCAAAAGGGACCCCGAGGGTCATCCACCCCCTGCAATGCAGGAATTGTTAACAAGAAAATGATAGAATCATAAAGTTGGAAGAGTTCCATGATTCTATGCCCACCCCCGGCAAGGTAACTAATAAATTTCTTAAATTAAACAAACAGACCTCAGCAATTTCCACCCCGTCTGCTTTCTTCATCATTTCTCCAATGTGTGTTCTACCTCCCGCCATCCCATAACATTTTTGCACGACTGCAGCACGAGAACTTCTCTGCTGGGGGTTGTTTGTTTGCCCGTTTGACCCTTTGTTCTTTCCTACGGCAAGCAGTTTGCTTTGGCTTTCCAAGCCCCCTCTGAGCCCCAGCCCCACCCCGCGAGGCAGAGGGGTACCTGGTCAGGTGCAGAGATGTATCCGGCCAGAAGGGGGTCGCAGTCCTTGTAGAGGGTGAACATGACAATCCCGCAGCCCACAGCGCTGGAGACGATGAAGAAGAGGCCCACCTGGTTGACAAGGAGAGCTCTGGGGAGAGAGAAGAGGGGAAGCAGAGAGGACAAAAATAAAATTTGAACCCAGGACAGGGAGAATAGGGGAAATCAAGCAATTGAGGAGCTTACAAAGGTCTGGAAGAGGGATGGGGAGCCCAGAAGGTGGCTCAGTTGGTCAGAGTGTGGTGCCAAGGTAGAATTGTAGAATTACAGAATTGTCAAGTTTGAAGGGACCCTGAGGGTCATCTAGTCCAACCCCCTGCAAGGCAGGAATCTTCTGCACAATGAATGGCTTGAACCCACGACCTTGAGATTAAGAGTCCCATGCTCTGCTGACTGAGCTATCTTCTCAGTTCATGGGTTCAATCCCTGTATGGGCCGGCTGCATACGTCTGCACTGAAGGGGGTTGGTCTAGATGACCCTCGGTGTCCTTTCCAATTCACAATTCTGTGATTCTGTAATCAGAGGCTTCCGCTGGATCAGGGCAATGGCCCCTTCTAGTCCAGTGTCATGTTTCCACAGCGGCCAACCAGGTGCCCCGAAGGGGAGCAGGATTTGAACACAAGAGCCCTCTCTCCCCCCCTGTGGCATTAGCCCACCTCCCAGGGTCATTTGGGGGGGGGGGTAAATGAGGAGACCCAGGCAGGCTGTGATATAAATGAAGCACTGAGGTCTGGCACCTTGCCTGGTCTATGCAGGAAGGCCCTGGATCTCCCAGTCTGTCCCCAGCCAACCTTTTTATCAGCGCAGCACAGCCCAGCCAGGTGCTGATAGCTTTGTGGGGCTGTGGGATGGGCACCAGGGTGGGGTGGCCAAGAGGGTGCCCCCAGGTTATCGAGCCTCCCCAGGAATACAGCTTGAGTCTATAGACTCAAGGACACGGAGCAACGCAACTACCTGGCAGGATCTGCCATGGGGATCTCAGAAGCCTCGGACAGAGAAACAGCCAGCAGCTTCCGAGGAAACAGGACACAAAAATGCAGCCCTTGGGGGGGGGCGGGGAGTCTCTGTTCGCCCCAGTGCAAAAGTCACCTTGGATTATTCCCTATTAAGGGCTATGCAGGAGCATTTATAATGCCAAAATAGATGTCAAATTTACCCATCCCCAAATATAGGAAAGCTTTTATGCTAACCAGATTTAAAATTCTACCTTCCCTACTCCTCAAAGGCAGAAATAATAAGATCCCTGTTTAAAAGTGGTAATTTCCCTGTGACATGGGAAGTGCCAATGTATTATTCCATTGCCCTTTTAACTACAACCTCCACAAACAGCTCATTACCCCAATTCAGGGAGATCTGAAGCATTCTATTTAAAATACCTATTATCAGATTGAAACCCTCTGATTACACACAATGTAGCACAATTCTGTGCATCTGCTGTTACCTGCAGGAAAATCATGATAAATCAAGACAGCAAGCCCAAGAGAGGCATTATTATAATTCCTTTTATGAAATCTTGCATTTCAGACACATGGCTCTTCTTCGAATCATTTTAGTAACAACTAAAATTCTAGCTGGTTGGCGACTCGTCTCCCTGCTTTTATCCGGCTTGTTCTTACAACTACTGTATTCTTAGCCTTTTTTAAACTGCTGGTCTATGACTAACTGATTGATTGATTGATTGATTGATTGATATTCCTTATGATGTATATCAGCCTCCACCACTTTGGCGATTCAGTTCCCTCCGGCCCCTCCAACATTTCTTCAGTGAAAATAGGGGCAGCTTTTCTCTATTTTCTGTTAGTTCCCTCTGAAATGGGGAACTGGGAAGCTGATCAGATGCAGCTTCTAGGAAAATCAGACACAAATATGCACCCCTTTTGGGTTGGGGGTCTCTGCTTGCTCTACTGAGAAAAGACGCCCCAGGTTATTCCTTCTCAGTTCCCTCTGGCGTCTAAGGGCGATGCTTAAATGAGCCCTCCCTTCAGGTTTTCCCCTTCCACTCAACTCACAATTTCGCCTCTCTCTCTGTCTTGCAGGCCACGTAGCGCTGGACCTGGGCCTGATTCACCCCGTACATGGAAAGCCAGACCATTGTCCCGCCAAAGATGAAGGTCCAAAAAGTGTAGCGGCTGCGAGGATCCAGGTTAAAGCTGGGGAAACAGAGAGGGAGAATGTGGGAAGACAGACCTAGGAATCACAATAGACTGCCTCTGGACCCCCAGAGATGGCTCCAATAGCGCTATAGTTTCCACAACCCAGGACGTACTCGTTGAAGTTGATGCGGGAGTTATTGTAGGCGATGGCCAGGACCTGTGCGGGGCTCCCCACCAGGATGGTCCCCTGGATCAAGATGGCGACAAAACCCGAAAGCATCACCACCACTTGGAAGACGTCCGTCCAGATCACGGCTTTCATTCCTCCCTGGAAGACGGAGGGGAAAGTTAGGGGCGCCCAAGTCGCCTGGCTGCAGAACGCACAGAGAAATAAACGTGTCGTGGCTGGTTTCCTCTTTCAAATGCTTTTAAAAGTGTCGCGCTCTGTCAATTATTTAATTAAATACTAACATCTTTACATATAAATTCTACATTCCAAATTTGTTATGCATTTCTCTTTGACTTCTGGTCTTTTTCTCCATGCCATTCTTAATCCCATCCCATTTACAGAATGTATTCAATTGTTTTCTGCCAATTAATTTTTATTCATTTTCAAATTTAAAATACATCAAAACCAAATTAAAATTAATTTCATACAGGTTTCTGCAAAAATTGGCTTCCCACTCTCTCAGATATATTCCAGTTCATACCCTTTTACATGCTGCTTACTTTACAGATATATCTCAAATTAACACCCATTTTTAAGCAAATTCCTTGTCCTTCAAGCTGTCCCTTTAACAACTTTTGCATGTAGATAAAACAAAATTATATCAAATGACAACACACTGCACTCTAATAAACATTTCACCCAAGACATATTCTCCTTTTTCATATATTATCATTCTCTGCTGCTGCTCATATTCCAAATCCTGCTCATAATGTCATCTGATTGTGATATTTTTACAAATATTCCAAAATATTATTTCAAATATTCCATTCTTCCAGGAACAGTGTGTCATACTGATTTCTTATTTTTAAGAGTGGTTTTCTCATTTTATTTTATTTTTTTATTTTACTTTATTTATTTTATTGGTAATTTTGTTGCATACCACTTGGAGAGCAGGTATCTAACGGAATGGATCAGGGAGGACTTTGGCTCACCCCCGGGTGGAAAGGGAGCCCCCAAGCACATCAATCACTTAGGATGGCAGTGCCTAACCTTTGGAACTCCCTGCCTCTTGGCATCAGGCAGGCACTCTCCCTGCTCCCTTTTTGGCCCCTGCTAAAAACAACCTTGTTTCTCCAAGCCTACCTTAAGAAGGGTGAGGTCATAGTAATTAGTTTTAGTATTTTTATTTTAAAGCAGGCTTGTGCATTTTTACCCTCCAGGTGGTGCAACAATAAAACTGCTAGTACATTTGCAAAGCTAAGCAAATGCCCCATCCTGCCGCTGCTTCCGTCCCTTTTGGTGACGTTTCCAGGTCACTTCCGGGATCAGTGTGTGTGTGTGTGTGTGTGTGTGTGTGTGTGTGTGTGTGAGGTTGCACACAAACTGAATGTGCATAAATAGAAATTAATTAATTGTAAAGAAATTTAAAAAATTTGGGAAATGATATATAATGAATTGAAGAAAATGTTTAAAATGACATTTGGGGGGGAAAAAACCAGAAGCATTTTTGTTAGGGATTGTAGGACAAGACCTGCCAAGGAAAATAAGGAACTTATTTATGTATGTTACAACAGCGGCAAGAGCCTTGATAGCACAAGGATGGAAGAATGAAGAAATCCCGACAAAAGAACAGTGGCAAGAGAAATTGATGAACTACACAGAACTGGCCAAATTGACATACAAATTGCGAGACAAGGACAACTGTGACTCCAAGGAGGAATGGGAAGTTTAGACAACTTATTTAAAAATACAACAAAATGAACTGGACTCCTTGGCAGGTTTTGAATACACAAATTTATTGTTGATAACATGAAGGACACATATGGAAGGATATATATAATTTTATAATATGCAGAGAAAATATGTGCAGCAAAATCAGAGAGAGGAGCTGAGGGAAGTCCAGGGGGCGGGATTACATAGGTGATTGTATGGTTTGATAATTTGTTATTTGGAAATTGGGCAATAAAAATATTTTTAAAAAAGAAATTAATTAATGGAAATAAATAAATGAGCCCACCCAGTCGTACTCACAATGGTTGTGTAGAAGGTGCAGATGATCCCCGTGGAGAGCAGGGAGGCCCAGATATCCAGCCCAGTCACTAGAGACATAAGCAAGAGGAAAGGTTGGTCTTGAAGCTGCCGGCGAAAAGCGTTGCTCCTCAAAAGGGAAGGACTGTGAGCTCAGGGTTTTCAAGCAGAGGCTGGTGGGCCACCTGTCAGCTGAGATCCCTGCATGACCCCCGGGGACCCCTTCCAACTCTGCCATTCTACAAAGCTTGCTCCTCTTTCCATGCGAGAGCCCTTCCGCTCTTTGCAGGCGGCTCTGGTGTCCAAGGTCTCCTCCAGGCTGAACAGACCCCACTCCCTCAACCACTCCTCATCTGGCTTGCTCTCCAGACCTGAGAGACAACACAAGACTGACCTTGGTTGAGGATCAAGGCTGGAGCATAGATGACAATCCCGGTATACAGCATCTGTGTTGGATGGGGGGAAGGAATTGTTTCAACATCTGCATCCATGTCTTAGAAGAAGGAACTTTGGAGGAAACAGGGGTGGACTTTGGGCTTTCAAACTTCAACAGTGCCCTGTGCAACGCTAAAATTTGGTGCCCCCCCCCACTTCTTGCACTCCGTTCTACAGTGTTGTTTTGGTGTCCCCTGCAGCATAGCGCCCAGTTGTGCTACCCTAAACCCACCTCTCCTGCTTCTGGGAGACCAGCGGGGAGGGGAGCTTGTTGCAGCAGGAGGGGGGAGACCCCCTGGCTTCTTCACCAGCCAGACTCCTCTCTGCCTCCTTCCTCTCCTGCTTCAGCTTCTACCTGCTCACTAATACCCTGTTACCTCTTCCGCTTCTCCCCCCCCCCGTCTGCTCCCTCTTCCTCCTCTGACCACTCATTGGCGTCCCACCGCCATGCTCCAGGCTCTGAGCCTTCTTCCCTTGGGGGTTCCCTAGCTGCTTCCTCCCCCCATTCCTCTGCATCCAACCTGTCCATGTCAACTGCCCAAGACTCCTCACTTCCAGGGTTTTCCCCAAGCAATCAAAGACCAAGCCAACCTCTCCTCCACCCTCTTCATGCCTCTCCTGGTTCTGGGAGATCAGGCAGGAGGGGGAGACCCCCTGGCTTCTTCCCCAGCCAGACTCCTCTCTCCCCCTTGACCCCTCCTCTCCTGCTTCAGCTTCTGCCCTGATTCTGCCCTCCTCTCTCCCACAGATTCTTTGCCCGCCCAACTGACCCCCAGCGACTTACTGTGGCAATGATATACTGGATCGTCCCACACAGGCGGACTGCTTTGGAGAACCTCATTTCCAGGTACTGTCAAGAGAAGATGGAGGGGTGGAGAGTTGAGAGGAGAGGGAGAAGAACACGTGGGATCTTTCCAAAGGAGTCTCCACAGGAGATTCCTCTCAGAAGAAGGTCCCAGGATCAGTCCCATGGTGGCATCTCCAAGTGGGACTGGGAAAGACCTCTTCTCTGAAGTCCGGGTGATTCATTGCTGCCAGCCAGTGGAGACAGTACTGAGCTACATGGACTAGCAATCTAACTTGGTATGACGCAGATTGCAATTAAATCCCTCCTTTTTTCAGAAACAAGAGGGCAGGAGCCTCATCTTGGTTTAAGAAGAATCCTAGAATTGTAGATTCAGGTAACATTGTAGCGTTGGAAGGGACCTCAAGGGCCATCTAGCCCAACCCCCTGCAGTGCAGGAATCTTTTGCCCAACACGTGGCTCGAACTCATGACCCTGAGATAGAGAGCCTCATGCTCTACCAACTGAGCCAAGGGCATGGAGAAGAAGGACCTTCGCTCAGCAGTCAAGCCCCTATATTGCATGCAGAAGGTCACCCAGGGGCATCTCCAGGACGGGCTGCAGGGAGAGACCCCCGAATCTGAAACCCTGAAGAGCCATCGCTGCCAGGCTGTCTAGACAACACTGTGGTGAATGGGTCAAGGCTACAAGGGAGATTCCTTTGTTCCTCTTGAATCAACTGGCCATGGTTGCTTTAGCTGAATCCCAGCCTTGCAGGGGGTTGGACTAGATGACTCTTGAGGTTCCTTCCAACTTTACAGTTCCATGATTCTAATAAGGGTGTGGACTAGAATCTTTTTTAAAAAATATTTTCAGTGGAAGGGTCACGGTTCAGCATCCTTGCAAGCAAAAGGTCCCCGGTTCAGTCCCAAAGGGCCCCTCCAGGGAAGGCTGGGAAAGACTCCTGTCCTGAAACTCTTGAGAGCGGCTGCCAGTCAGTGTGGGCACCACTGGGTTAGATGCGCCTAGTGGTCTGGCGCGGGCAGCCCATTCAGCAAAGCACGAGACTCCAAATCTCAGAGTCATGGATTTGAGTGGGGTTGGGCTAGATGACCCCGGGGTTCCTTTCAGCGCTACAATCCTCTGGTTCTATGGCAGGATTCCAGCTGTTTCCATCATTCTTTCAGCTCAGCCATTCCCTGCCAAACATAGTAAGCAGTCTTTGTTCCCGGCAGCATCTCAGCTGACTGCCTCCCTTGTTCCAAAACACACACACACATTTTGTTTATTGATTTTGCAAACACACAGAGACACCCCACTGTGTGTGTGTGTTTTGCCTTTCACACCATCTCTGATGATTTCCAGGAGGTCAAGAAGTGCAGGGATGGGGACTTTGCCCCTGAGCCTTCTCTCACCTCTAGCTCAACGGTCTGCGGTCTTGACCTGACCCAACAGGGGTTCCTCTGATGTTCTTACAGGTCCACCTGGATTATGAGGCACCTTCCACGTTGCCATGATGTCCTTGAGAGCTCCTTGTGGAACCAAGCTTCCACATCGGCCCATCTGCGGCACTACCATACGCAAATGCGCACCACATCCTTCCACGGCTGGCTTCCTCAACCCACCTGAGATACCTTCACTCCAGAGCTACATGGCTCTCTGCCTCTTTGAAAGCCCTTGATGATGCTTCTTGGCTCCCTGCCCAGCCATGAAAGCAAAAGCATCCAGTCCGTGATGGTGGCTTTTGCGTCAGGTGAGGCCTGGCTGCCTGGGTTTCATGTGAGAACCCAGTCCAAGGGGCCCATCTAGTCCTTCACCCTGTCCTCACAGTGGCCAAAGGCCCCTAAGCATCTAGGAATATGGGTAAACTGCTTCTGGACTTGGAAGTTCTAGAAGAAGATAACCAGGGCCAGCTGGATCAGGCCAACGGAAGCCCATCTAGCCCAGGCTCCTGTCCTCACGGTGGTGCCCCAGATGCCCCAAAGGGAAACCCGCAAGCAGGATTCAAGAGCATCTCTCCCCTCCTGCGGTTTCCAGCAACTGGGACTCAGAAGCATGGCTGACTCCAAACGGGTACGCATACTGCCAAACATTTTGTGAATCTAAGTTTGGCCTCATTGAGGGGCAGTATTTCAATATGAGTAGGAAAATGAGAATACCCCTAAACATTATTTTTAGAAAAAAAGGCACAGTTTAAAGCCATCCAGTTTGGAATCCCTCACTCCCCCCTGTGGCAGGGAGTTCCACAGTTCAACTACGTGCTGTGTGCAGACAGTTTCTTCGTTTATCTGACCTCAGTTTCCGTTGGCTACAAGTTCTTGTGTTGCGCGACAGGTAGGGAAACTCTCAGCCCTTCTCTTTCGCAATCCAAACCACTTTGCAAGATTGGCAGTTCCTAAACCCGAATTTCTTTACGAATAGTAATAATCCCAGCTAACTCCAGGCTGCTATGCAATGCAAACAAGATGACTGCAGGGCTTTGGGACACCACAGTGTGATCCCAGGGATCTAGTCCAGATGTGGAGAATTAAATCTGAAATCAGTCAACAGGTGACTCAGACCTAAGGTTCACTCCTTGAGTCATTTGTTGATCTGCCTGACAGCATCAAACGTCTCCGAGGCAAACAATATAATCCTTTATATGCAACATTCCTCCAAATGTAATCCACTGCGTACTTTCAGACCACCAAGTGTCCCTATTTTCCAGGGAAACTCCCTGATTTACAGAAGCCAGCCCGATTTCTGATTTGATCCCGAAATGTCCTGCTTTCCTTTAGGTGGAGGAAGAGGAGTGCGGGGGGCGTGCACCGCCCCCGGCAGCGCGATCATGGTGGGGGGGTGCCATGGCGGCTGCTCCCCCCGCCCACACTGGGCACCACGTCCCCAGGACACACACCAGTCCCACCCCGCCTGCTCTCCGCCCCCCGGTGCCAGAGGATGAAACTCCGCCACTGTTTAGGACGTCCCTATTTTCTCTGGAGAAATGTTGGGGGGTCTGGAGTTATGCAACCCCGGAGCCGAGGAGATAAGTCACTAGACAACCTTTGGAGAACATCTGAACGCAGCCCTGGATAGGGAAGCTTTTTTTAATGTGTAATGTTTCATTATGTTTTATATATGTTGGAAGCTGCCCAGAGTGCCTGTGATATAAATGGTGGGGTATAAATAATAAAATTAATTATTATGGTATTATTGTTATTGTTATTATTATTTAATAGGACATGCCTGTTTTCATCAGAGAAATGTTGGAGGGTATGTACTTAGCTGGAACACAGGAAGCCACCTCGTCACACCTTTGCTATATCACAGAATCCTAGAATGGTAGAGGGGGAAAGGAAGGGACCCCCAGAGGTCATTCAGTCCAACCCCCTTCAATGCACCACCAGCCTTCGGGTGAACAGCCAGACCCACTGACCCACTGTGCCACATGGATTCATGGGTGAATATGACGTAGAAAAATGTATTCTGATAGGAAAGCTCTGCAGGTAGAGCATGAGAGCCTTAATCTCAGGGTTGTAGGTTCAAGACCCAAGTCTCTACAAGTCTATGATTCTAAAAGTGACAGCAAAAATGTGTTTATTGGGAGAAATCTGCTCTAAAGTATTAGTAAAATTGCATGCGGTGGTAGGGTTAAAAAAAAGAAAATAGCAAATTGCTGCAAAAACAGGGTTTTAGATCAGAAGCACGAGGAACCTAACTGAGGAGAGAGCTCCAATGGGCTACGTTTGCTTTGTAAATTTTACACACGTTGGCACATTCCTGGCCAACATTCCCGGAGTGAGAACAAGGCTGCCTCTGCTGCCAAAATCTCTTCTCAGCTGGTCTGGATATGTTTGCTCTGCAAGAGGGTGCTCAGACAGGGCTGATTCAAAAGTCAAGAGGTGGTTTGTTTTGGGAGTCTCAAGATACGCTAAGAAAACACCCTTATCCTGCCATCTGGTTCAGGAGAGGCCTCTGCAGCGCATGGGCATGTGCGCTGGAAACATGCATGTGGTCACGTGGGTTTGTAAAACCAAGCTGGGCCTGGAGAACGTGAGCAGAGGGGCATTTTTCTTCCTCTGTCCTAACACTAGAACTCAGGGAACACTAGAATACCCTCCACAATTTAAGCTGGAAGGTGTGCAGAGGAGGGCAGCTGAGATAATCAAGGGTCTGGAAACCAAGCCTGATGAGGAATGGTTGAGGGAGTTGGGTTTGCAGCCAACCTTTTGCAAAGCTCAGCTTCATGGGCAGCTCAGCTCTTGCAGCACACATCCAAAGCAATAGCTTGGCCCAAGGGGTTCATCTTTCATGAAGTCTTGTGTCCAGATCCTGGAGATTAGTACTTCTACTACTCTACCTTGGTCAGACCACACCTGGGATATTGTGTCCAATTCTGGGCACCACAATTTAAGAAGGATATTGACAAACTAGAACATGTGCAAAGGAGGGCAACCAAGATGGTCAAATCCAGGCCTTATGAGGAATGGTTGAAGGAGCTGGTATGTTTAGCCAGGTGAAGAGGAGACTGAGGGGAGATAGGAGCCATCTTCCAATATCTGAAGGGCTGTCACATGGAAGAGGGAACAAGCTTGTTGTCTCCTGCTCTGGAGGGTAGGTCCCAAACCAATGGCTTCAAGTTACAAAAAAAGGAGATTCCAACTAAACATCAGGAAGAACTTTCTGACAGTGAGAGCTGTTCAACAATGGAACTGTCTCCCTCAGGACACTCCTCCTTTTTTAAGCAGAGGTTGGGTGGCCATCTGTCATAGATGCTTTAGCCGAGATTCCTACATTGTACGGGGTTGGACTAGATGACCCTCAGGCCCCTTCCAATGCTATGATTCTAAGGCAGCTTCCTGTGTTCCTAATGCCCTTGAGCATAAAAAGACCCCGGCTGGATCAGGCAAATGGTCCACCTAGTCCAGCCTCCTGTTATGGGAAACCCGCAAGTGGGATGCGAGTGTGAGGATCACCCAGTGTTAGGGTCAAGGTGATGGACAGCCTTGCCTTTTACTCTGTTTTGTTTCAGGTTGTTTTGAGCAGGCAACACAAATCATCTGGTATGTTTTTAACTGTGCCAAAGTGACAAGCACCCAAACAAAACCACAAGGTCCACAGGAGACGGTACAAAGATTAGTGCTGTGCAAAAGGACTGACCTCGGTTTATCCTGAGGTCACTTTGCTGCTGGAAGGCTGGGTGCAAAGCAGCTAAAGTTCGCTCAGAGCTCCTTCTCTCACCCGCAGAGCAGCAGCCAGCAACCAGTTAAGCCTCCCTAAACTGAGGTTGCAGTAACCAAAATGGAATGTCTAGTTGCCATTTTGGGGCAAGACGGCTCTAAAATCTTATTTTTCAAATGATGGGCTGACAGTGCTTGATTCTCAGTGAAACATCTGACTAGTTCTGAGGACGACCCTGAACTGGGTTAAGAGCTGTGATAACTTAAAGGAAAGTCACTTGATCCAGGAACAGTCTGCATATATATTAGCCTCTATACCAGAGACATGGGCCATTCATAATGTAAGAATATTCTTCTCAACTCTGAGCAGGGCGGGGGGGGGGAGTGAAGACAAGCAACAATTCACTATTGCATTGTTCACTGATCCTGCTCAGGCTGCACAGAAAAGGCATTTTGGTTCCAGAAATTCGTTCCAATTGTGCAGATGAAATATAAGTGATTAAATTCTACAGGATGGGGTATGAGGGAGTGAAAACAGTCCAGATCCAGGGATCCCCAGATGGTGGAGATGTCAGGGAGGAAGTCTCAAGGTGCTTCACATGGTCAAACCACAATAAACACGTCACCTCTCCGATCTGCAGAACTGGACAGAGCCCAGCCCCCTGTTCTCACAGGGGCCAAATACCCCATAGAACCTAGGAATCCAGAGAGATTGCCTCTGGCCTGGGAGGTTCCTTAGGGACATAGGAGCCGGGCAGCAGCTGGACCTGCCAAAGGGGCCCATCCAGCGCTTCCTCCTGCCCCGATGGGAAGCCCACAAGAAGGAGTCTGGCAACTCCCTGCCGAGAATCACTCACAGATGCCTGTCCAAACTCTCATAGATATCTCCTAGTTGGAAGGAGCCCTGTTTAAAAACCTTCAATGGATCATAAATTGCTCCAAGGGTCCTCCTAGCCCAGCCTGCTGCAATGCAGGAATCACAGCACAATCTAAGACCTGGAAGAGACCGGGGTTCAAGTCCTCCCACTCAGTCCTCCCACTAGGCGGGACCTGGCGGGCACTAGCCCACCTCACAGGGTTGTTGTGGGGATTAAATGAGGACCAGGAGCTGGAAGAAACCAGGGTTCAAGTGATAGAATTCTAGACTTGTAGAGTTGGAAGGGACCCCGGGGGTCATCTAGCCCAACCCACTGCAATGCAGGAATCTTTTGCCCAACGTGGGGCTTGAACCTGCAATCCTGAGGCTCCTGCTCTACTGACTGAGCTAGGAAGAGGTCTCACTCAACCATGAAGCTCAGTGGGAGCGACCTTGGGGGGCAGCCTCAGCCTGCTCTACCTCACAGGGCTGTTGTGGGGACTAAATCAGGAGTGGAAGAAGAACCATGGGCGTCAGTTTATCTTGGGACAGAAATGCAACAAAGCAATCAAGAGATCAGGAAGAAAGAGTCTTTAAGCAAGATTGGAGAAGTTTTCTGGAATATCTAAAAATATTATTTTGAACAGATTAAGGCGTTAGTAGGTATAGAGTAAATTCAGCAGTGTAAACCTAACAGAGAAGATTGAAAAAGAAAAGAGCACAGATTGATTGGAACATGCAGTGGGAAAGGATAACTAAAATGCATGACATGTTTGATCCTTTTACATGGTTTTGTAGGCTTCATGGTATTTTATGCACTGTGATTTGCTGCAAAAATTTGTAACACTCAAAAACTGATAAATACATTTTTTAAAAGAATTGCAATAAAGGAAACCAAGCAATGAGCTCACCTCGTAGGTGCTGGTGAGGCCGAGGCGGTAGAAGACCGGCAGGAAGAGGTAAGCGGTCAGGAGTGTGTTCAGCAGCTGCCCCAAGCACATCCACAGGAACTTCACCCCATAGCGATAGGCCTCGGCCGGGACCCCCAGAACCTGGATGGCCGACATGAAGCTGGCGGACAGGGAGAGCCCCACGGGGATGGCCGACATCTGCCGCCCGCCTGTGAAGAAGTCCTCAGAAGTCTTCTGGCCTCCTTTGGAGAGGGCATAGAAGAGGCCGATGCTGGTGGAGATGAGGAGCATCAAGGCAAAGACCCCATAATCCCATAAACTGAAGGTGAGCATCTCTGCTCGGAAGACCTCTAAACCACCTCCTAGCGCCATATTGGGCAGCTGAGAGGACCAGCACCACAGCAGATGGAGAGGTCAACCCCTGGTGGGTCCAGCGGAGAAAGAAAAAGGAGGAGGACTTGGAGGGTTGGAAGGAGAACAGCAGAGGGAAGAGAAATGAGCTTCAGTCCTTGGGGAGAAGGGAGTAAAGGTCCAACTCTGCTCAGTACAGGAAGTGGGGTGAAAGAGAGGGGGGAGGGATGGAGAGAGAGAGAGAGAGAGAGAGAGAGAGAGAGAGACTCCACAAATTACTATTTACAAGATTTGGAGGTGCCTGGGTAGCAAACAACTTAACCACAAGATGTGATACATTGGAATAGCAAAAAGTTTGCAGGCGAGGAGGAAAGGAGCAAAGGTTTTATTTAAACAGAAACAAAAAAAGTGTGGAAAGCAAAAGGAGAGCCCCCCCACCCAAGGAAGGGCGAAGGAATCAAGCTAGGAAAATAAAACCCACCCAAAATCTCTCAGGGATAAAAAGTCAGCAAAGACCCCCCCCCCACACACACACAGCCCCACCAGAATTGGTGTTTGTAAAGTAGGAATCAAATAAGAAGATAAGTTATATCTTGCAATTATAGAGTCTACTCTATCCTTTCTGCCACTGTCTCTTGAAAAAACGAAAATCTGGTTTAGGTGATAGCAAGTTCAAAAGGAAATGAATGAACAGACGAGCAAAGGAGCCAGGTGGATAAAAGGGGAGAAAGCGAGCGATTTGTCCTGTGAGGTTCAGCGAAGAGGCCGAGATCCCGAGGTGAGCGGAAAAAGAGAAATTCGGCTGAGAAGAAGCAAAAGGGGAAGCCGAGAGAGGAATTGCCCGGGTTGCAAAGGCGAGATCAGCTGTTCGCAGAGTTCCTTGCAGCCACCTGCGAGGACTTTTATGAAGCCAGCGATGAGAGAGGGAGGCGTCACCCTTTCCCGCCCCCCCCCCATCCCTTTCTTCTTTATCAAAGGTGATCTGTTTGGTGGAAAGAAGGACCCGGGCACGTGCAATTCTGGCTCCAGGTTCCCTCTCTTTCTCCCCCCCCCCTTTTTCTCTGCGCCCTTTCAGCCCTGAGATCAGGAAGCCCGGGCGCAAAAATAACCTGGGGTTTCTGCAAGAGGAAGTCTTCCAGAGGGCGAGGTCCTGGGCGTAGGCAGGGGGCAGCTGCCCACCCCCTAAATCAAGGAAACAAATAAAAGCAGAAATGATCAGAATATTGGAAAATGAAATGCTTGCCGAGAGGTTTTTAAGCAAAGGTTGGGTCTGTCAATGGTGCTTGAGCTGAGATTCCTGCCTTGCAAGAGGGCTGGACTAGATGACCCCCAGGGTGTCCTTCCAACCTTGACATCTGTCAAGCATCCATGACGGCCATATTTCAAAAAGTGAAAATCCGGACACAAAAAAAGTTTTTGAGCTCTTTTCTCAGACAGTCAGTGATTTCCACTCAGACGCTGTTTACAAGGGCTGAACACCAGCTATTTCCTTTCTTTTTAAATTTATATTCCACCCATCTGGGTGGATTTCCCCAGCCACTCTGGGTGGCTTGCAGCATATATAAAAACACAAAATATCCTCTAGAAGCAACAAGCAAAGCTGCTCAGTTGCAGGTATGGGGTAGAATTTTCATTTTTCCAGCATTTGAAAGCAGAGCTACCTATTTGCAAATGAAATTCGCAGAAGAGAGAAAGATGAGTTTGTTAGGGAGAAGTGTCCTAACTAACACCTAACATTGAAAGCAAATTTCATAAAATCATAGAATTGTAAGGTAAAGGACCCCTAGACAGTTAAGTCCAGGCAAATTCAAGTATGGGGGTGCGGCACTCATCTCACTTTTCAGACTGAGGGAGCCGGCGTTTGTCTGTAGACGGAAGGGATCTCAAAGGGTCATCTAGTCCAACCCCCTGCAATGCAGGGATATTTAAAGCACAGGATTCCCGAATCCTGGGAACTGTAGTGTGTTAAGCAAGCTGGGCAATGCAGCTCTGTAAGAGGGAAAACTGCAGTTCCCGTGGTAATGATGTATGAACTTCAAATGTATGGTTTAGATCTGCCTCAAGTGAAATGATGTCGCAAAACATTGAGAAAGTCACTTACCAATAAACAAATACTCTGTGGGGGGATTATGAACCCATTCCACCAACCCTGACGGCTTCAGCAGAGGATTCAATAAATTCATGGAGGAGAGGTCTATCAGAGGCTGGTCTCGTGTTTGAATCCTGCTTGTGGGCCAGATGGGCCCCCATTGGCCCTGATCCAAGAGGCTTGTCTTGTGCCTTTATGAAACCTCCAGCACCAGAGGCCGTCTATCCCAATTCCTTAGGGTTCCTTAGGGGTATTTCCATGGGGCACCTCCCATGGGGCAGCCCTTCAGATCTCCCATCACCCATCGCCTGCCAGCCCACTGGCATCTCTTAGGCACACACACCTTCAGGAAACGAGGGAGTTCAGAAGAAGGCCAGCTCTCGGCACTCCCCATACCTGCATAACCTGCAAGAGAAAAAAGCCCCAGGAAATTTCTCTTTTCCTTCTGCACGCACTGCAAGCCTTCTTGCATCTGTCAGAAAGGACCCAGTCATTTGCAAATAAATACTGTACTCTTTTTTTAAAAAAAAAATGCAAACACATCCCTTCCTGGCAGAGGCTTCAGCTAGATAACCCTTGGGGGTCCCTTGCTGGCTACTGGCTGTTGCTCTCCCAGCACCTGCCCTTTCACTCCCTGCCACCTGAATAACCTGCAAAAAGGCCCCAAATCAGTAAGAACAGTAAGTCTAGCGTTGCTCAACAACAACTTTGCCAACTTTTTGTCTGGATTTTCACATTTTGAAATACGGCAGCCCTACTCTCACATGACCATGTCTTGCCTGCAGCTGCTGAATTGTGTGGCTGCCTCTCTTCGAAATCCCTTCCTTACTCAAACAGCCCCAACAAAACAAAACAGAAAGTTTGTGGAGAGAAATGTGTCATCAGAGACACGGGCTGGAAAATTCCCCGATTGCTGCAAGGCCCACGCGGTCAAGTTTCATGCATGGGATTTGGCACACTTCTTATAATCACTGGAAGGGACCAGGTCATTTGAGAGCGAGCAACATTGTTTTTTAAACAATGAGATTGGAAAATAAAATAAAAAAGACTGTTACATTAACATACATGAATATGCAGGTGTGTATATTCTTATTATCCTAATACAAATAGAATCATAGAACCGTATAGCTGGGAGGGACCCCGAGGGTCATCCAGTCCAACCCCTGCAATACAGGAATCTCAGCTCAAACTTCCAGGAAAGATGGCCAGTCAACCTCTGCAATAACTGTCAGTAACCTAATATATTCTGTGTAAAACTCATTCCCAATATCATGGTATTTATCCAAAGGAAGTCTGCCTCTATAAGAAGTCCATTCATACACTGCCAATATTGTCATGTTGTCGAGCCATTGATGAGGGAATAGGGCCCTCGTATTTACGGAGCCGCCTCTCCTGGTCTGCCCCACAGAGGACCTTAAGGTCCATGAATAAGTCAGACTATCCTCCACCAGGGCCAGGGCCTTTTCAGTGATGGCTCTGACCTGGAGGAATGCTCTGTCCCATGAGACCAGGGCCCTGCAGGATTTAACTTCCTTCCGCAGGGCCTGTAAGACAGAGCTATTCAGCTTGGCTTTCAGTTTGAACTTAGTCTGATCTTTTATTCCCCTTCCTTCCCTCCCTCTCCCCTTTTTATGAAGATTACCTGCTCTGAGACCCCACAGCTAATTCTCCCCTGGTCTCCTCGCTGGCCCAAATAGGACTAATTTAGCCAGCTAGCCCCGGCTAAATAAACATCTAATGTTTATTTGATGGATTTTCCCCCTAAACTGATTTTTGAATTCTGAATTTATTGTTATTCACATTTTATACTGTATTTTATGCTGTTTTTTGTTGCATCAATTAAGTGGTTTAAATTTGTTGTTAGCCACCCTGAGCCCGGTTTTCTGAACCGGGAAGGGCGGGGTATAAATAAAAAATTATTATTATTATTATTATTATTCCAATTCATCCATATCAGTCTCTTGGCCACCACTGGGCTGCCTAGAATCCATTTTTGCTGTTGTCAATTTCCATACAATGAGTATATGGAGAGTAAGGAATACTGTGTGTAGTTCTGGATGCCTCAGCTCAGAAATCCAATGCTTTTGAACCTCATTCTGAGGAGAAATCTGCAAAATAACTAAGCCTGTATTAGGAGCCTCTCCAGAACCGGCCCTACTAAATATTTTTCAAGATGACAATGCACACTAACATTACAAAAAAAAATCATAAGCTACTTGCAGATAGGAGTGTCGTAACTAGACATTGGAGAAACCTGTCAGGAGTGAACATGGGCCACTGGTACAAGACTGTGTGAGAAATAACCCTACTAGAGGGGGACATAATCCACAGAATCTAAGTAGGAAGGGACCCTGAGGGTCATCCAGCCCAACCCCCTGCAATGCAGGAATAGGCAGTTGTCCCTTACAGGAATCGAACCTGCAACCTTGGTATTCCTTTTTACCCTTTCTTTCTTTCTCTTCCCTCTTCCTTACTCTTTTTCTTCCCTCTTTTCCTTTGATAAGATATTTAGATTCAAGTTTTTGTTTGGGGTGGGATATTTTTGTGCATTTTTTCTTTATACTCTAACAAACAAACTGAAATCAGCACAAATGAAAGAGGATGGCCTCAAGCAGAAACTAAGTGCTGGGGCTCGGGAGATGGCCAGAATGAAGGACCGGGTTCAAAGGCTGCAGAATGAACTGATTCGGGAAAATGACCGAGAAAAAGACCTCGTGATGCTGCAACAGCAGCAGCAAATGGTGCTAAGGAAATACCAGGCCAAGATCACCAGGATGCACGCTCTGGAAGATGTGGTCAAGAAACAGGAAAAGGTGATGGAGAGGATGGAGATGATGCTGGAAGGGAAGATGAAGGAGCGGTCAAAAGAGGACACCCAGTTTTCAGAAGCTCCCCTTGGCTCAGTTCCAGGTGACAGCTGGTCCAAGGGTCTCTACTCCACCTTGATGATGGAGAACATGAGGCTGAGAGATGAACTGGGCAAGTCTTCCTACTATCGTTCCCCCATCATATTGCAGCAGCAAGCACTACCGGATACGTTTTCCAACAGCAACGAAAAGCTCTCTTTGATTTCAAAACTGGAGAGGGCAGAGGCACGCATCAGTGCCTTGGAGTACCAGCTGGAGGAGTCTTCCAGGTAATGGGGGCGAGAGAAACAGGACTACAGCACCCGACTTCTGGAGCGCGATCTTGGATTGGACCTGTCACCAACCCCTCTACTCTTAGGGGACACGTTGCTGAAGACTCATCCAAATTAGCAAATTCAGCTCAAGATGCATTGGGAGCCTTCGTCCTTTGTGCAACCTATGGCGATCTACGCTCGATGGCACGGCAGATCATCTGTTGTAAATATACCCCTCAAGTTTCATACCCCTTCCTCAAGAGACTGAATGGAGCATGGCATTCCCTAATAAACTTTTATTAAAGTTTTGGCATGCATTCCCATTTTAAAATTTTGAGAGTAAGAGCTGTTTGAGACAGTAACAGCTGTTCGACAGTGGAATTTGCTGCCAAGGAGTGTGGTGGAGTCTCCGTCTTTGGAGGTCTTTAAGCAGAGGCTTGACAACCATATGTCAGGAGTGCTCTGATGGTGTTTCCTGCTTGGCAGGGGGTTGGACTCGATGGCCCTTGTGGTCTCTTCCAACTCTATGATTCTATGATTCTAGGATTCTAGGATGGCCTCACCCTGTTGTGGCTCCCCTTTATTATATATACAGCCCCAAAAGACAGCAACCTAAGCCCCCTGACAGCATGGCTAATTTGACCCAACAACCTTCATCACACAGAGAGACAAAAACTCAGTACAAGCAGCCGCATGTGACAGAATGAATCCTCACAATTATTATGTGTCCAAGAACAGTTGCAGCAGCTGGGGATGTTTAGCCTGGGAAAGAAGAGACTGAGAGGAGATAGGAGAGCCATCTTCCAATAGCTCAAGGGTTGTCACAGGGAAGATGGAGCAAACCGGTTTTCTCCTGCTCTGGAAGGTAGGACTCGAACCCATGGCTTCAAGTGACAAGAGAGGAGTTTTTAACTCAACATCAGGAAGAACTTTCTGACAGAAAGAGCTGTTCAACCATGGGATGGAAGGTGGCGGACTCTCCTTCTGGGAGGTTTTTAAGCAGAGGGAGATTCCAGGATTGCAAGGAGGTTGGACTAGATGGCCCCTGGGGTCCCTTCCAACTCTACAGTTCTATGATTCTATGATGCCATGCGCAACCTGCCCTTTGAGCAGCCTGCCTTTCCCGTTCAGGAACAGCAGGTGGCGAAGGAAGGATGCTGGTTTCATGGGGCACGTGGGGAAGGGCCTGAATGGCAGGATCTCTCCCACCCTGCAGGTAGAATCTGAATGAAGAGCATCAGCCTGGTGGAGCAGAGGATGCGGAGATGGAGAAGAAGTCGGGATTCGCGGCCCTCTCCAAAACAACACGTGAACCAAAAACTTCTCTATCCTTCAGGGAAAAAATTGTGCCTCTCCGAATTTTTGCAATGCATCTCTGCAGCCAAAGAAATGTTAGGGGGAAATGTGCATTTAAAAATGCAGGTGGGTACCTGCAAAAATAAGATACAGGAATGCACTGCATGTGGGCTTGCAGGAAGGAGAAAGGCAGGCTGGAATTCTGGTGGATTTTCACAAGGACTTTAAAAAAATGGAGCAAACATTTCCCAAAAACCTGGCAAACAAAATGGAGGATTGGGAAAACGTGGAACGGAGAGTCCTTG